CCTTTTTTCCAAAAATTTACATTTGTCATTTTTTCACAAAGCGAGCATTTACCGAAAAAACGATCAGACTTCATGCAAAAAACCGGTAATCATGCACCTGGATGTCCGTACGGCTCTGTAATGCACCACCTTCATCTCAGCTGACGCCCTTCTTCCTGCGTGCTGGAAGGGGCCAAAGCACGGCCAGTATGAGCCCAAGTGTGAGGCCACAGCGTAGAAATCATTCTTGCTAATAGCGATCTACGAGTTTAGTGCAAAAACGCATGATCGCACCGGAGAGCCTGGTGCATTCCAGCCTGTGTTAAATAATACTTTAAATAATGCACTTTATGTCACCCGGTGTTTTCTCTTTTTTCCGTTTAGGCACTGATCCGTAATTAATTCCTTCCGCTACTTCTCTCTTCCACCTGTTCCCCTTTCCCTTGCCCTAAACCCCTCTACCTTAATGCTCCTAATATACACCACGGAGAATTGTTCTTCAAAGTAAAGGCCATTCGATCCGGGGCGCATAGGTCAATTGGTGCTCATCGCGTGTTAAATATGTATGCACCCTCTCTTCGAGGATCGCCCAAGGAGAATCATTTGCTTCCTCGTTGGTACTACTCATTAATGCGCGTCGCCCTCTAGCTGTCTTGCTCGCCAGATTTCATTATCTTACGTGGTCAGAATGTTAGCACGTATACCGATAATTTGACAGAGAGTCCTTCTGTTTTTGTTTTACCGCGAATTTTGCTTATCTCCATATTTTTAGGGATCCATCATTCAAAGCATGCGTTCCGTAATCGTGCTAGCCACAATGTTACTGCTTGCATTGGCAGTGCAAGTTTAGAAGCAGCGAAAGTATCAGCAACCCCAGAAACCTCAGGTAACCCCAGGATCTAACACACCACAGGAACCTCTGAAACGCGAAGTGCCCTTGAGACCACAGATCCCCCTAAAACCTCAGATATCCTTGAGACCTCAGAAACCCCAAATACCTTCTTGTGAGAATAGTAAGAATTAAATTTTCAATTAGAAATGCTAATCACGTCCTTTCCAATCTCTCGCTCCCATACGCTCCTCGATGCTTTTCTCTTCAGTCTTCGGTTCTTTGTTAAATAAACGATGTTTTTATAAGCACATAAGTTAACTAACAAAATGAAAGCACCTTCTCTCGAACAATGATTAAAAGAAAAGTTGAAGACAAATTTGAGTCCTTTATAAATATGAGTCCTTAATAAACGGCGACAAAGCAATGCTGAATTACTATCAAAAGCCTCCGATTTTTCCAGTGTCAGATTAACAATAAAAATGAATAAAATATAGAACTAAAAACTCCCGTGTCGTAAATTTTACTGTACCAAAAATAAGTTCAGATCAGATTGCAACAAAAAATAGCTCGTTTTTTCCAGCACTTTTGTCCCTTTATTACTTCCTCCTGCATGTAAGACTGAGATATGACAATCAATTATGATAATTAGAATAAATAATTTCCTGGTTGCGCGTTGGTGAGCGGTACCTGCGAGGTAGAAAACGGACATTTGGATGGTGAACAAAGAGGCTGCGTCAAGAGGCTGAACAGATGGTTATTACTAACTGGAGGTATACGGTCCTGAATCGAAGGGCCTGTCACAGTAGCGCGTGGCTCTTGAGAGCATTCCAGTAGCATCACTAACACGAAGGAATCAAAACTCATAGTCAAGTTGTCTAGATATTTTTGGAAACTGTCCAAACAGTTAGTTCATAACTCGACTGTCCATCCATGCAGTCAGCTTTTCATCAACTATGATCTTTCGCTTTCTGCATCCACACAATTTCTTACATTTCAGTCATTCTTCTTACTGTTCTTTTACTAACATCAGCTACAAAAATAGGCCTAAAAAAATCAAGATTCCATGTCAATATTAGTGCACTTATTGGTGAGCTTGTTGCTGTTATTTTACTGAGGTTTGCCTGTAATTTCAAGATGCAGAGACGAGTGGAAATGGCCAGACTGTGAGGAATTCAAAAATGATGGAGAATGTGAATTGATCAAACCTGCTTACCAGTGCTGCAGGAAGACATGCAATTTGTGTAACTATGTTCTCTAAATGTACGCAGAAACGTGGGATTTGAAAATACCGTGATTAAAGACAAACTCAAGCGTCCATTAATCACACTGAGTACCAACTGGTTTTTAAAACGTACTGCGCTCCAGGCGCTAAATGGATCTTTCATTGCTCATCGCGGCCAATGCAGTTGGCAACTTCTCCATTCTTCTCTTTTTGGTGTTTCTGTCGTTCACTTAATTAAATTTTTAGCATGTGACGTCTGCCACTCCGCTGCATTTTAATTCAGAGCTGATATTGCCTCTTCAATAAGCATAAAATTGTATGCTTCGTGTGGGAGGTGTGATGACAGTGGAATCATAAATATCATTTTTAATGAACCATTTTGAAATCAGGCCTTGTGACTTGGTGAATCTCAGTTTTGATACAAGACGCAAATATATGAATTCCTCACTTTGCAGTGAAAATAGAAAATTTTAAGCGACACACGACGCAATTCACCAAACGTACAAACAAAACACGTTTATAGTCGCTTTATGTGGATGCGCAGCATTTTACCATATCACTTCTATGATTTCAAAACTGCTGGTTCACTACAGTGACTCACTATAATGAAACACAATATTGTCTTTTAAAAGTCCTGATAGCGCTTTTTTTCTGTGGCAGATAAGCTTTGCTAAGTCGTTATGCCCAAGCGAGATTCAGGCAATTGTGTAAGAAAAAGAGTCATATTGTTTATCAAAAAATTCTTATGTACAGCTATTCAAGTAATCAAATATGACGAGCCAACTAGTGTGCGCTGAGAAAAAATCAAAAATTTGAGAATGAAACACGAGGAATAAATTCCTATGATTGGCATGCCAAATACTAATTAGTCCAACTTTCATTATTGTACTCCATCTCACAACTGACTCAGCTAGCAGGTCAATCCACTTAGAACACGTATACCGGGGGAAGCGAAAACATTTAGTTAGCCTCAAATGACACCTGGCAAGAAAGGGCACTATTGTGAAATACCATTTCGAGGCAAGTGCAAAGATTGCGGTTGGGAGGGCTTCACTTCTAAATGATGTGGAAAATGGGAATTGTTTAAACTGATGTGAGAAATACATCCGCAGACAGTGCAGTGTTAATTGAACTGATTAGAACGAAGTTGAAACTCGCAACATTTCACTTTATTTATTGCAAAGGCATCATTCTAAAATGGCCTTTATCCGAAATTTGGCTCGTTTCTTCGCCGTAACAGTGCTTCCATTGCTGTTTCAATATGATAAGCAGCTGATGTTTTACAAGAACCAAAAAGCGCAGCCAGAGCTTGCCGAAGGCTGCTTCGCCGGAGTGTTAAAAGGCGCTTTTTACTACTAGTATGATCAAGCAAATTAAGCCGAATTTACCATCAAAAAAATTTTAGCCGACAACAGCTTCGTAACAGCATGCATTTGCTTGGACTGGGGAGTGAAAATGTGAAATTGACCATTACAAAATGACTGCTAATTGCCCTGGGTATTGTTGCTGCTTCGATTTCGATTATACCGGTCATTTTTTTTAATTTTTGTTTCCTCTCCAGATCTTCAGTGGAAAGCATATTAGCACCACGTTGGCCTCTTTAAGCTTCTAGAAAATTATACTGTGCTACAGCGTTCAATCATGCTTGTCATATCTGCTATAATACGGTTTGCGAATAATCCGATAGAGGCGCAGCAGAAAGTTTTTGGAAGAATTTGCAAAATTCGAAAATTAATGGGTTTGAAAAATATGCACTGCAACGAAACTAAACAGATAAGAGAAGCTAAAGCACAGAAGTATGGAGAAGTTACCATTTGCAGCAGCGACGAGAATAAACGCAACGTTGGAACAGCAAATTTGGCAAGTATGCAAATGAGGCAAGCGCTACCTCCCCTTTGTGCCTCCTTCTCTCTCGTAAAGTCTTTTCGTAACAACTTTCTTAAAAAATTTTTAATTTAGAGTTTTTAGGAATCGCAAGATTCCATAATCCTTATTTACTGGCTTAGTTGGTTTAAGAGAAAAAATGACTCTTTGAAACTGTTTGTGATAATCATGGAAATTAGGATTTTGAAAATCCGTTTAGTGTGTTCAGCTGCAAATTGCAATTATGAAACTCCCTCGAAATTATGTTTAAATTAGCAGCACATCGAGGGACATTCAGTTTGCTTCATCCCGCTATTACTTCTCGAAAAGTCACCGTACTGCTGGGATTTGCGCCCATAATTTCCATACAGTTTTTTCGGTACACCTCTGGATAGAAATTTCACGATTTTCAAGTCCCTCAGTTGACTAAACTGGCGATTTCAACCGCTTTTCTGTATTCTGTGGCACGCCAAATGTGCAAGATCTATGTGTATCAAGAAGATATCGCGCAGTATCTGTTAAGCTTGGGTGTTAAGAACAGGTGCCAGGCGGAATAATGAAGAATGCCGAAGCTTACGTGGCTTGGTTATTTAACTATGTGCAAACATAAATACAGAAACTTTAGGAAAAATGACTCTTCGTGTGATTCGTCTTCGGACTCTTGACATCTTGATGCCCTAGTTTGTTGAGATTTGAGATACGAAAAAGCTTACTTGACACGAATTTTTCGGCACGTTTTGTCACCACTGCTTCACTCTTTCAGAGGGCCGTATTTCAAATTATGCGGTATTTAATCGTACTTGCTGCATTGCTGATGGTCGCTTTATGTCAGCAGCAGCAGATTTATCAACAACAGTATAAAGGTGGGAATCAACCGCGTCAGAATCAACAAAGTGGAGGTCAGCGGAACAGTTTCAAGTGTTACTTTCGTTTATCAGTTTCTTAGTATCCAAATTGTTTAACAAAGAATCTCAGAGGAGTTTCAACTTTGACCCCGGTGAAACCAACCAAGAATCAGCGCAAACGCCCGATTGCGCAGCCAGCTATTAAAGGCACACCCGAGAAAGAACAGCTTTGTCAGCAGAAGCTTTACGCTGACACGTACTACCGTTCGGGTTATTTCGGTGTGCGTCCGTCGATAGAGAAAGAATTGCGCAGGGAACTTTAGCTCTTGCTTTTGACTTTTCTGACATCTCATTCTACAGGTTTTGTTTAAGTCTGACATTGTATTTGGAAGGGGCCGATTTTCTTCAGACTGTTGTTGGAGCAAATTCGAATCCACTAAATGAATTTATGAATCTGAGGGGCCATGAAGAAGATGAAGCATATGTGAAAAAAAAAAGCTTATTATCTCCTTTGCTCATATAATCCTTCACCTTCTGTGACAAAGATTTCTGAAGCATTCGCAATTCCGTTTGGATCTTCTCTGTCTCAGACTTGTTTTAGTGATGTAATAGATTGGTCTTTTATTACCAAATCTTTCCTTTTGTCCAACTATCTGATAGTTCAAATCGGGTTATCTCAATATTAGAGCGAATCAAAACAAGTTCATTCTTATTTTTATGCTAGAAGTAACCAGAAGAAGAAATTTCTTTTCACGCTTTGTAAGCGTGGCATTTTACAATAACATTACCTAAAACGCTTCCTAAAATCAGTAAAAATGCCCGAACTACAGCTAGAACTCTTGGTTTCAACCAAGGGCCGGAATGCCATTATGCGAAGTCACTTGTCTTGATCGTCTCCATCGCATGAGAGTAACAAGCAAGAACACTATCAAGAAATATCACTACAGGCCAGAAATCAGTGCGGATATTCCTTGCTAGTAATGCATAATTAAACCCAGGCTGGAACGCACCAGGCGAGCCGGTGCGAACATGCGTTTTTGCAGCAAACTTCGAATTGCCGTCTCTCATGGTCTGGGGGAGGGGGAGGGGAGAATGGGGGAAAAAGAAGGGGATTCCACG